GAAGAGACCTGCTCCAAAAATTGCAGGCGCAAATCTCCTTTAAACCAGAAGGGAATGTGACTTTAGACTTCACCCAACCAAAGGCAAGGGTGCTAGCCCTAACTGCCACAGGCTGAGGAAGGGAGGCTGTATAATAAGATGACACAGTGCCAAACTGCTTCATATCCCCAGAGGAGGAAACCGTATTGGCTAGACCAGTAAATTCCTGGAGGTCTGCGCTGAAAATAACCCGCTTGCGTTGGCTGCAAATCATGCTCCAGTTGTAATAAAATTAAAACCAGGTGCCACCCCCATCCAGCTTTGCCAATACCCCCTGCCTCAAGAAGCCATTAGAGAAATATGGAAACACATAGACCGACTTCAGAGTCATGGCATTCTAGTGCCATGACAGTCACCCTGGAATACTTTATTCCTACTGGTGCAGAAGCCAACAGAAAAACCTCATATTCCAGGAGTATATGACTGCAGACCAGCACAGGATCTGTGAGCCATAAACAGGGCTACAGTACCATTCACCTAGTAATGCCAAAGCCTTATACCAGGTGTCCCCAAACTACAGCCCGCGGGCCGCATGCAGCCCCCTGAAGCCATTTATCCGGCTCCCCGCTGCACTTTAGGAAGGGGCACCTCTTTCATTGGTGGTCAGTGAGAGGAGCACAGTATGTGGCGGCCCTCCAACGGTCTGAGGGACAGTGAACTGGCCCCCTGTGAAAAAGTTTGGGGACGCCTGCCTTATACAGTAATAACACTTATTCTGGCGAGTGTAGCCTGGTTTGCTGTACTAGATCTAAAAGATGCCTTTTTCTGCCTCCACCTAGGACCAATAAGCCAACCATTGTTTGCCTTCCAATGGGGCAATTTTCAGCTCACTGGGACCAGACTTCCACAGGGGTTTAAAAACTCCCCCACAATTTTTGGAGATGCATTAGTGACAGACCTTAAAGCTTACAACGCCCCCCCGAAAAAACAGTGTGTCCTATCGAAGTACGTGGATGATGATCTCCTAGCAGCCCCAATTCTAAAAGTCTGCTCCACTTATTACAGAAAGCAAGATATAAAGTATCAAGGAAAAAGACTCAAGTCGGCCTGAGAAATGTCAGATACCTAGGATTCAGCATAAATCAGGGAAAGTGGAACCTAGATGGCCCAGATAAAGGCTGCTTGCAACCTTCCAACCCCAATCTGCAGGCCCTAAGAGAGTCTTTAGGAGCAGCGAGGTTTTGCTGCATCTGGATTCCAAACTTCTCACTCATAGCAAAGCCACCCTTATATGAAGCCACAAAAGGGGTGGCTAAGAGTCTTTCCTTTGCAGAACTGAGCAGGAGAAGGCATTTGAACAGGTAAAGCAAGCCTTAACTGAGGCTCCAGCTCTAGGACTACCAGACATGGCCAAGCCTTTCTATTTGTGTATTCACAAGTGGAAAGGAATAGCCATCAGAGTCTTAACCAGGGTCCTAGGGTCATGGCACTGCCCCGTGGCCTGTCTATCCAAACAATTAGATGTGGTGGCACAAGGACGCCCCCCCCCCCCCTGCTTTAAGGGACTAGCTGCCACACCTATGTTAGTACGAGAAGCAGACAGATTAACTTTAGGGCAGCATCTGACTGTGTGGGTGAGCATTCAGTCCTAAATCTAATGGATCAAACGAGACACCACTGACGGTCAGACCCAAGTATGACTCAGTACCAAGGGTTCTTATGTGAGAACTCACATAACTTTAGAAACTGTAAAGACCCTCAACCCAGCTACCTTGCTCCCCATAGAGCCAGGAGCCCCACTCCATAACTGCATAGAAACAGTAGATGAAGTATTCTCAAGTCAGATCTTACAAATCGCCCTATCCAGGAACCAGATGGGAGCAGTTTTGTAGCAGGAGGGACCGGTGGGCTGGGTACTCAGTGGTAACCCTAGACTCAGTAGTAGAAGCTTAATGTTTGCCATAACAACTATGAGACTGTGTGTCTGCATGCATGTTGTTTATAAGTATATTATATATTTGGCTGGGCACAGTGGCTCACGCCTGTAATCCCAGCACTTTGGGAGGCCAAGGCGGGTGGATCACCTGAGGTCAGGAGTTCAAGATCAGCCTGGCCAACATGGTGAAACCCTGTCTCTACTAAAAACACAAGAAGTAGCTGGGCATGGTGGCAGGCAACTGTAATCCCAGCTACTTGGAAGGCTGAGGACAGGAAAATCACTTGAACCTGGGAGGCAGAGGTTGCAGTGAGCCAAGATCATGCCATTGCATGAGCAACAAGAGTGAAACTCTGTCTCGAAAAAATAAACAAAAACAAAAAAAAACTATATACTTATGAAAGATACATAAGTTACATATGTTAAGAGTAAAGACAAGCTGGGGTCTGTGATCTCAAGCTGGAGCCCAGGATGGGCTGAAACCCCTTTGCTGCCCTATGGAAGCTGGAACCTTTAGTCTTGGAGCTGAAGGAGCCAGAGGAAGATACAGCAGCTGCTGCCTTATGTAACCCAGGTGAACCAGCAGATAGCCCAGACCTTCTGTAGCCCTTACTATCTCTGGACACACTAGGTAATTCTTAAATTTATTCTGCATATTGCCTGCTGTCCCTATTCACACGTATGGTCCAGGAGGGCGTGGGTTAGGCATGCTGCTTGTTCACTGATGTAGTCCCAGCACTTAGTGCTTAGCACAAGCACTCAATAAACATTGTGCTGTTGAAGCACAAAGGCAGTGACAGAGACACAGAAGGGAAGTGCTAGAAAGGATGTCAGCTGTTAAATCTAAGTAAAGGGCATGCAGGTATTCATTGGATTATTTTTTCAACCTTTATGAATGCATGAACATTTGCAAAATAAAAAAGTTGTGGAGGCGCCGGGCGCGGTGGCTCAAGCCTGTAATCCCAGCACTTTGGGAGGCCGAGGCGGGTGGATCACGAGGTCGAGAGATCGAGACCATCCTGGTCAACATGGTGAAACCCCGTCTCTACTAAAAGTGCAAAAAATTATCTGGGCATGGTGGCGCGTGCCTGTAATCCCAGCTACTCAGGAGGCTGAGGCAGGAGAATTGCCTGAGCCCAGGAGGCGGAGGTTGCGGTGAGCCGAGATCGCGCCATTGCACTCCAGCCTGGGTAACAAGAGCGAGACTCCGTCTCAAAAAAAAAAAAAAAAAAAAAAAGTTGTGGAGGAGGGAAAAAACAAAAACAAAAACCAGGATGCACTGAGGTCGGAGGTGAAGGTCCTAGGGGCAGCGGTGCTCTGTTGAGGTCAAGGCTCCTGGGACAGAGCTTGATCCCTGTCAACTGATAAAACAATCCAGGACAATCCAATAACAGAGCTGAATTTCAATTACCTTGGTCCTGAACTTCACAGCCCCTTAGCAGTGGGAATCCTGTGACACCAAGTTGTGTGTAACCACAGGGCTGGCCTAAACTGATCCTATTCTGTTGGTAACAGGAGGTATCGCAGGGCCAAAACGGAAAGTCGAGTGACCTTGGCATACACAGAGGAGGAAAATCCTAACTCCGAACCAGCGTTTCCTCCCTGAGGGGCCAAGAAGCCAGGAACATGACGGGAGCTTGAGTGGCAAAATGCTTTCAGAAAGGAAGGGTCCATCATCCTGGAAGATCTGGCGCTGAAACCTGCCATTCCAGACTGTACCATAAATGGCCAAGTTTAAAGCCTCCTATTGAAATCTTTCTGCCAGCACTTCTGCGTGCCAACCTATCCTCCCTAACCCAAGTTTGACCTAAGCCCAGACGTGGGAGACACATTTGAGCAGTGTCTCCTGTCTCCTTGGCCGTCAACCTCAAAACAATAAAGCCTTCTCCTTTCTCAAGAACTGGCGCCATATCATCTAGTGCGCCAGGCAGCAGGTCCATTGCTCAGAAACGCGCGTAGCGGGTGGAAGCCCCGTGAGGCGGGAACCCGTGCCCGCAAGGGCTGTGAAGACGTTCGCTAAAGCGTTTGCCTGGTGCGGGGCAATCATGGAATTATCACCACCACCACCGCCCCCGCCCCGCCGCTGCTGCCAACAGCGGGGGCCGGGCACTGGCCTGGAGCCCACCCCGCCGCCCCAGGCCTTCTCCGCCGCCCCGGCCCCGCCCTGCGGAGAAGCCTCTTGACAGTCGGGGCCAGGCCACGCGCCGGACGGACGAGGCGGACCCGGCCTTCGCGAGCGGGGGAAACGCCTATCGGAAGGCGGGCTCGGCCGCCGGCCCGGCTCCACACCAGATCCAGCCTCCCTGCGGCGGCTGTCAGCTGCACGCCTCCACGCGGCCTCGCGAGACCTCCGCCCGCCCCCGAGGGCGCGGTGGACACAAACGAAACGCAAACCCAAGCGCCGCGTGGACGACGGGGCGGTCGCCGCCCGGTGACGCCCGCCCGCCGGGACCACGCCGGGCCGGGCGCAGCGATGACGGGCTGCGCCTCGGACCTCGCAGCGCTCAGCCTCCTAAGTGGGCGGAATAACCACGCAAGTCCCCGACAAGAAGACTTCGGTGCTGCAACCGAAAGAGAAAGGGCCCCCGAGCAGGCGACACCCGCGCTGCAGCGGCGCAGCGACCGGCCAGGAGGCTGAGGGCAAGACCCTTCTCAGCGGCGGGGACCGCAAAGGCGGGGAACGCGCTCGGGTTCCGGGAGGGCCGAAGCCAGCGCGAACCGAGGAGGGCCTGTCGGGCAAGCAGGGGCGTCCCCCGGAGAGCGCCCGCGGCAGAAGCTCGGGAACCGGACTCCCAGCGGGGGAGGCTCGCCGGCGGGCTGCAGCCTTCGCGCCCGGAAGTACGGCCGGAGACCCGGCCGGGCCCATTTCCCTGCGCAGCTCGGCCCCTCTAGGGATCTTGGAGGCCTGGCTCTCGCTGGCTCCTGAGAGCGCCCTGCAGTCGGTCACCGAGGAAGGCTTCGGACCGGGAGGCGGGCCAGATGACGTAAACATGCGTTGCCCTCCAGGATTGGCGGACCCGGCTGTGGAGGCGGGAACTGAGAGGCAAGAGCCCCCAGGGATTGGCGGCGGCGCAGACGGGGCGGGGCAGCCCTTTGTCTGAGGGTGCTGCGGGCTCCCGTCACTTCGCGCGTGAGGCTGCGGCGTGGACGGTGAGTGGGGGGTGCGTGTCGGCGCCGGGCCGGCCGGGACCCTTTCCCATCACGGACACCCGAGCCGGCGCGTCCTCCACTCGGATCGTGAACTCCTCCCCGCGGGCACGCACTGCCCGCTCCGTTTGCGCCGGTCCCCTCCCCGCACGGACGCGCGGCGGCCTCCTACCCGGGGCCAAGACCGCGCCCTCTCCCCGGTTCGGGGTTCCCATCCTTCCCCTGGCCGGGCCTCGGACCCCTTCGGGCCCTCCCACGCCACCGCCTGCCCAGGAAGGTTCGGTCCCTTCCGCGCCCTTCCCCCCTTGGGCTCTCTCAGACCCCCAGCGATCCTCCCATTTTGGATTTTCTCAGACCGCCCCGCGTCCCTCCCACCTTGGATCGTCTCCGATCCCCGGCGTTCCTCCCCCCCTCGGGCCAGGTTGGCGGGAGTCCTGGGGGACCCCCCCCGGGCCGCCCTTCTTGCCGCTGTCCTCGCCTTGGTGGAGAGGAGGGAGCCGACTTGTTCCTGGGATGGGCCCGGAAAGGGTGGGGAGCTTCCCCAAAATACAAAAATTGAGGTTTTCCTGTTTTATGCAAAACTGAGGAGCCCCGCGAAGACCCCGGCGACGCACCGGGAGCGCCACTTTGTTTAGCAATAAAAAGTCTTCCCGCGTCGGGACGAAAACGAGCTGCTTTCGTCTCGGCTGTCGGTCGGGGGTCCTGCCCGCCGAGCGCCTCCTCCTCCCGCCGGGCTGCGGTCGATGCTGTCTCTTCCGTTACCTTGTCAGAGCCCTGTTTTCATGAATGAGTCCGACTCTTCGGGGTTCACGCAGCGAATATATCCCTCGTGGTTTACTGGCTTAATTTTTTAATTGAAAATAATATGCAATACTTCTTCTAATGCAACCGTATCTGAAAAGCGTGAAAGTCCAGTGTATGAAGAGGCAGGGGCGGTGAGAGTTTCAGACTTTGCGAGGGCGCTGCAGCCCTAGGCGCGCGCGCACGCGCTTGTTTCCGTCCACGGTCACGGGCAGCTGGCGTCGTTCGGACTCAGCGCGGCGGCGGCAGCGGGCGCTCCACTCGTGCTGCGCCGAGTCGGCACTCGGGTTTTTCGGTTCGTGACTGTCTTCTGGACGTCGCTTTCTCTGTCAGGCGGACTCTGTCAAGTGGGTTAGGGTGGGAGACTGCCGTCGACATTCCCGCGCCCTACGGGGCTGTGGTCCTGTGTGCTTGACAGGTCCCTGCATTCCTGCCAGGTCGACGTTTTCCGTTTATTGGTGAGGTTAAAATCCCTTCGTTTGTGTTTTAAACATTTGTGTTTCTTTGTGATTTTCCAGCTCATATTCTTTTCCATGTATGTTGAAAACATACTTCTCAATTTGTCTTTTGACACTGATTATGGTGTTTGGTTCTGGTTTGGGCTCTTCGAAATAGAAAATTTTAAACTCTTATGAGTCAAATATTTTGCCTTAAGGCATTTTGGGTTTTGTGCTGTGTTTTAAAGGGCTTTCCCCACTCCAAGATTATTTTTTAAATAAACTCCTGTTTTTCTGTGGTACTTGTAAAATGTTGGATACATCTGGAATTTATTTTCTTGTCGGGTGAGTTTGGAATCCAGCTTCATTTTTTTCCCTAAATCATAGCCATTTCTAACACCACTGATCTTTCCATTGATTTGAAAGACCACCTTTGTCATATGCTAAGTTGTTGAAAGCCTTTAGTTGAATTTCTGGAGTTTGGTAGCTTTGATGTACATAAGATTTTGATTCATAAGCTGCATATCTATGGATCTCTGTCTCTAGTCTTTCTGCTTTTGGTATTTTGCTTAGAACAGCCCTTCCCACATAAAATAATAAAAATACACGTGTATTTTTATTAAAGGTCTTTTTTAATTTAATATAATTATACATATTTATGGGGTACATGTGATATTTTGATACAAGGATACAATGTATAATGATCAAATCAGGGTAATTAGGATATCTGTCACCTCAAACATTTTTTGTGTTGGAAACATTTCACATCTCTTCTTCTGGTTGTTTTGAAATATACAATAAATTATCAACTGTCGTTACTTTACTGTGCTATCAAACACTGGAACTTATTCATTGTATCTGACTGTGTGTTGTAATCATTAACCTACCTCTATTCATCTCACACGTCCCCCTCAACCCCACCCTTCCCATCCTCTGGTAACCATCATTCTACTCTCTATCTCCATGAGACCAACTTTTTTAGTTCCCACATATGAGTGGAAACATACAATATTTGTCTTTCGGTACCTTGCTTGTGTCAGTTAAGATAATGACCTCCAGTTCGCTCCCTGTTGCTGCAAATGACATCTTTTTTTTTTTTTTTTTTTTTGAGATGGAGGCTAGAAGTGGCGTGATCTCAGCTCACTGCAACCTCCGCCTCCCAGGTTCAAGCTGTTCTGCCTCCTGAGTAGCTGGGATTACAGGTTTGCAGCACCATGCCCAGCTAATTTTTGTGTTTTTCATACAGATGGGGTTTCACCATGTCAGGCTGGTCTCGAACTCCTGACCTTGTGATCCACCCACTTCGGCCTCCCAAAGTGCTGGGATTACAGATGTGAGCCACCACATCTGGCCAACTTTATTATTTTTATAGCTGAATCATATTCCATTGTGTACATATACCACATTTTCATTATCCATTTATTTGATGTACATTTAGATTGATTCCATATCTTAGCTATTGTGAATATTGCTGCAGTCAACACGTATGTTCAGGTATCTCTTTGATATGCTGACTTCCTTTCTTTGGGGTATATACCCAGCAGTGGAATTGCTGGATCATATGGTGGATCTATTTTTAGGTTTTTTTTCATATGCCTGTTGGTCATACATATTGTATATCTTTTTTTGATAAATTATTCCGATCATTTACCTGTTTTTAAATCAGATTAGTTGTTTATTTCTATTAAATTGTTTTGCTCCCTTCTGCATTCTGGTTATTAATCCCTTGTTGGATGGATAGTTTGTAAATATTTTCTCCCGTTCTGTAAATTGTCTCTTCATTCTGCTAATTGTTTCCTTTCCTGTGCAGAAACCTTTTAGCTTAATGTAATCCCATTGGTCTAGTTTGCTTTTGTTGCCTGTGCTTTTGAGATCTAACCCAGAAAGTGTTTTCCCAGACCAGCATCCACAAGTGTTTCCCTGATGTTTTACAGTTTTCTTTATAGGGATCCTGTGCGTTTCTAAGGTTTAATCTTGTTTCTTGTTGCTATTTGTTGAATGGATTTTTTTTCCCTTCATATTTTCTGACTAGGTGTTACTGGTGTATAAGAAAGCTATAAATGGCGCCGGGCGCGGTGGCTCACGCCTGTAATCCCAGCACTTTGGGAGGCCGAGGCGGGTGGATCACGAGGTCAACATGGTGAAACCCCGTCTCTACTAAAAGTGCAAAAAATTAGCTGGGCATGGTGGCACGTGCCTGTAATCCCAGCTACTCAGGAGGCTGAGGCAGGAGAATTGCCTGAGCCCAGGAGGCGGAGGTTGCGGTGAGCCGAGATCGCGCCATTGCACTCCAGCCTGGGTAACAAGGGCGAAACTCCGTGTCAAAAAAAAAAAAAAGAAAAAGAAAAAGAAAGCTATCAATGGCCAGGCGCGGTGGCTCAAGCCTGTAATCCCAGCACTTTGGGAGGCCGAGGCGGGTGGATCACGAGGTCGAGAGATCGAGAACATCCTGGTCAACATGGTGAAACCCCGTCTCTACTAAAAATACAAAAAAATCAGCTGGGCATGGTGGCGTGTGCCTGTAATCCCAGCTACTCAGGAGGCTGAGGTGGGAGAATTGCCTGAACCCAGGAGGCGGAGGTTGCAGTGAGCTTAGATCGCGCCATTCCAGCCTGGGTAACAAGAGCGAAACTCCGTCTCAAAAAAAAAAAAAAAAAAAAAGCTATCAATTTGGGTTTTTGTTTTGTTGTTTTTTTGTTTTGTTTTGTTTTTCATTTTTTGAGATGGAGTCTCACTCTGTTCCCCAGGCTGGAGTGCAGTGGCATGATCTTGGCCCACTGCAAACTCCACCTCCTGGTTCAGCCTCCAGGGGAGCTGGGATTTACAGGCACATGCCACCACACCTGGCTAATTTTTGTATTTTTAGTAGAGATGGTGTTTTACCATGTCGCCCAGGCTGGTCTTGAACTCCTGACCTCAGGTGATCCACCCACCTTGGCCTCCCAAAGCGCTGGGATTACAGGTGTGAGCCACCACACTCAGCCAGAAAGCTATCAATTTGGATACATATTTATGATCATTAATTATGTAAAAGTTGCAAGTTAGGGTTAGTTAGGTTAGATTAGGTCAGCTTTTTTGCACTGTGCTCACAGGTGGCTCAGAAGCCTCCTGTCTTGAACATGCTTTCACCTTAGTGGGTAAGGAGCTTCTTGGTGATGAAGAGGGAGCAGTGCTTGTTAGCAGAAAGTCCAGGGAGTAAGGATGATGAGGAGCAAAAGAAGGCAGTGGCTCTGGAGGGGATCCTGGCAGCTCTCCCCGGACCAGGAGACTCCAAATGTGCCTGACCCAGTGTGTCACCACGTGCAAAGTCCTCTGGAATGACAGGCATACTGCTTTGTCACATTGAGACAGGAATTCCAAAAAGAGTGATAGGAGTGTCTCACTGCCATGTGGCTTTTGATCACCTAAAGAAAACTGGAAAGCCAGTTGCTAACAACATTGATCTACGGTTTTGGTTTTGGATTATTCCCTAGGGAAATTTTCAAATTTGAAATTCCTGAGTTTGTAAAATGAACTCTTCATGCTGCCACCTTTGTGACCAGTGGATGGGTGGGATCCTTGTTCAGCCAGTGCCCTGAGTGGGTGTTCTTTATATTGCCCAAGGTTAGCTATTGGCATGGCCTCAAGAGGGGGGTCCTCAAACTCCACTTCCAGTATTCTGGCACAGTGATTTCTAGCCTGTCCCAGCCCCTGGCCCTGAAGCCTGGCATCTGTAGAGGACTTGTCATGAGCCTGTCTTTTAATTTTTAAAAACTGTCCACACCCTCCTTTCCTGCCTGAATTGTGTTTTTTGTTTTTTGTGTTTTTCAACTGTGTTCTTATGGAGCAAAGATTGGAGTTGGGCCTCAGAATCCCGGGGGTGACGTAGGGATGGAGCGTGTTGTTAAAAGCTGGTTTCTGGCACCCTAGATAGTTCTGTGTGTGCAAGATTTAGGCTGAGGCCCATGCTGTTTGCTTGTCTTGGTATCCTGTTGCAAGCTTGTTCCAGGAAACCGAAACCTTTATCTGCCATAGCATAAGTAAGGAAAAAAATTAAACTAGTTTATACCACTTTTAAAATGTATTTTGTTCATATATATATTATATGGTTTTTTGGTTTTTTTTTTTTTTTTGAGACGGAGTTTCGCTCTTGTTACCCAGGCTGGAGTGCAATGGCGCGATCTCGGCTCACCGCAACCTCCGCCTCCTAAGTTCAAGCAATTCTCCTGCCTCAGCCTCCTGAGTAGCTGGGATTACAGGCATGCACCACCATGCCCAGCTAATTTTTTGTATTTTTAGTAGAGACGGGGTTTCACCATGTTGACCAGGATGGTCTCGATCTCTCGACCTTGTGATCCACCCACCTCGGCCTCCCAGAGTGCTGGGATTACAGGCTTGAGCCACCGCGCCTGGCCCATTATATGTTTTTAAATTTTTATTTATTTGTTTATGTATTTTGTGAGGCAGGGTTTTATTCTGTTGCCCAAACTGTAGTGTAGTGGTGCAGTCACAGCTTACTGGAGCCCTGACCTGGGCTCAAGCAATCCTCTCACCTCAGCCTCCAGAGTAGCTGGGACTATGGACCAGCTAATTTTTTTGTTGGTTTGTTTTTGTAGAGACAGGATCTTGCTATATTGTCCAGGGTGGTCTTGAACTCCTGAGCTCAAACGATTCTCCCACCTTGGCACTCTAAAGTACCAGGATTATAGGTGTGAGTCACCATGCCTGGCCCATTTTCTTCATTTTTTTTACCAGAATACAATCATACTTTGTGATGTGATTTTTTTTTTTAATTAGCAATATATGAAGATCATCTTTCAGTAGAGACCTGATACAGCATTTTGTGTTTATGCTTTTCTAAGACTTACCCCAGGTAGCAATCTTTCCTTTTTTTTTTTTTTTGAGACAGAGTCTCACTCTTTTGCCAGGCACAAGGCTGGAGTGCAGTGGCCCCATCTTGGCTCACTGCAACTTCTGACTCCTGGGTTCAGGCAGTTCTCCTGCCTCAGCCTCCCAAGTAGCTGGGACTACAGTCACGTGCCACCATACCCAGCTAATTTTTGTAATTTAGTGGAGATAGGGTTTCACTATGTTGGCCAGGATGGTCTCAATCTCTTGACCTCATGATCCGCCCATCTCGGCCTCCCGAAGTGCTGGGATTACAGGTGTGAGCCACCGCGCCTGCTACAATCTTTCCCTTTCACTTCTCTCTGCCACACACTTGCTAACAGACTGGTATTGTCCTTTGGAATTTTTCTTCTGTGTGTTAATTTAATCAAATAGATAATACCTTATCCAGCAGCATCCACCTCTGAGCCAGGGCTGTTCTATGAGATCTCCTCTCACCAACCACGTGATCTCTAGGCCTTCAGAGGAGTGTGTCATCTCCTGGATTTACAGGTGTGGCCTCAGTGCAGCTGGCCCAAGTGAGGCAGGTGAACCAGTCCCAGGTGCCTGTGACACACATACCCTTTGTGGGCTTGGGGTCATAGTTTACAAAATGAAATCGTCCCCTGCATGCTGATCCCATGCTGCATTTTCACTCATCCATCTGGCAACCTGACACAGCACACGTTTCTCTTTAGCAGATGTGTCACTCGTATGTAGAAGGACCAATATGGCATTTGCCTCAGCAACATTTTTGAATCTGCACCCTCGCCCACATCCATTCTTATAAGGCACCCACTATCCAAGGGCCAATCTGATTTGCCTAAATACTGTTAGGTAGCTTTCAGTATAAAATTTAAAAACAATATGAGAAACTCTACTTTCCCATACCTGCCAGTGGCAAGTGTTGACTCCTTACTTGCTATTACAAATGGCATAAAATGTGAGCTCATTGCTCTTTATTAATTTGTACAACAAACAGGCCAGGTGTGGTGGCTCAGGCCTATAATCTTTACACTTTTGGAGGCCAAGGAGGGAGAATCCCTTGAGCCCAGGAGTTCAAGACCAGTCTGGGCAACATAGCAAGACCTCATCTCTACCAAAAAAAAAAAAAAATTAAATTATCCAGGCGTGGTGATGCATACCTGTAGTCCTAGCTACTTGGGAGGCTGAAGTGGGAGGATCACCTGAGCACAGGAGTTGGAGGCTCCAGTGAGCTATGATGAAGCCACAGTACTCCAGCCTGGACTACAAAGTGAGATCCTGTCTCTAAGAAATCAATTAATTAAAAGTTTTTAAAAGTACATTGCCTGGCAATTTTTAATCATTAGCCTAGAAGTAATTTAAAAAAAAAACAAAAAAGAACAGTCAACCACTGGGTGGAGCCAAGGCTGCTTGTGGTGGGTGGGGCAGAGGTTTCTGAGACATGGATGGGGAGCACAGGTCACGTGATAAAGGGCTGCAGGGCTCTGAGGAAAATCACAAAGATTGGGGCAGGCTCATAGGAGCCATTGGGGTCCTAGGAGGACCTTGGAGCAGAGGACAGTAACTGTATTCTCCCAGGAAGGTAGATGGAGGGGCTGGGCTAACAGACTGTGTTGGGAGCTGCTGAACATCTAGGAGTGGTGGTCATGGGGCAGGGAGGGCAAGATGGGCAACGTGGTCAGGTTCTTGATGTGCTTAGAAGATGAATTAGAAATGAGATGTGAGAATGAAGAAGGAAGGAGGCTTACGTACAGATTCACAGACCAAGCTGGGGGCAGAAATGGTGGTAGAGGGGGTGCTTGGTTTGGGAAGTTAAATGTGACACCCATATTGAAATGTTGAGTCAGAGGGAAGGGGGATCACCAGCTCAAGTGTACCAAAAGAGCTACTGGGATCAACTGACTTTTCAGACTCACAGGACAACTATGCCTAGCAGCAGGTTCATGGAAAAGCTGACTAGCCTCATCCAGCAGGCATCCAGGGAGTACGCAGGTGCATAAACACAAGATGCAGGTAGGAGAAGGAGTTCGCCTGGCCGAAAGCCTTATGGTCACACAAGCCAACACCTCCTGTGTCAGGAGAACTAGCTACAAGATCTGCTTGGGAGGCCCTGAATCTAGTTCCCGTGGTTGTTCATCATTGAGTTTCATCCCAGGTGTTGTTGGGCCATAGCGAGAATAACCATCCACCTTTGCCAGGTTTCCAGGGGACCAGAGTTGTGCATTCACCAAAGATCAAATTCACATGCAGGGCTAGGCTCAGTGACTCACACCTGCAATTCCAGCATTTTGGGAGGCCAAGGGGGGCAGATCACTTGAGCTCAGGAGTTCAAGACAGCCTGGGCAACATGGTGAAACCCCATCTCTACAAAAAATACAAAAATTAGCCGGGCATGGAGGCAGGTTCCTGTAGTCCCAGCTACTCAGGAGGCTGAGGCAAAAGAATCGCTTAAACCCGGGAGGCAGAGGTTGCAGTGAGCCAAGATCATATCGTTGCGCTCCAGCCTGGGCAACAAGAGTGAAACTCTCTCTAAAAAAAAAAAAGAATTGCATTGCACTTACACAGAAATGTGCATGCACACACATATTTGGAGGGAATGGGCAGTTTTGGAGAATAGCAGCACAAGGGAGGGTTGAGAGCCTCTCTCTACCCATGTTCCGCTGTCCTGTTCTTCAGAGGCAAGCAGTTGATAGTTTATTGTGTATCTTCCTGAAAGTTATCTGTGCAAATATATACATATATCTGATGTGGGTTTTTGTTTTGCTTTGTTTTGTTTTTTGAGATAAGAGTTTCACTCTGTTGCCCAGGCTGGAGTGTAGTGGCATGATCTTGGCTCACTGCAACCTCTGCCTCCTGGGTACAAGTGATTCTCCTGCCTTAGCCTCCTGAGTGGCTGGGATTACAGGCACCTGCCACCACACCCAGCTGATTGTATATTTTTAGTAGAGACAGGGTTTCACCATGTTGGCCAGGCTGGTCTCCAACTCCTGACCTCAGGTGATCCACCCACCTCGGCCTCCCAAAGTGCTGGGATTACAGGCATGAGCCACCACACCCAGCCTATATCTCATGTTTTGTAGACAATGGGATTGTGATGTCCCTTGACTCCTGCCCCCAGGCCCTTTCCTCCTGGCAGCCCTGACGCCTGTTGTGTCACTCTCAAAGTATCCTGTTTGTTGTGGTGCCCAGCTGAGCCAAGCATGTAAGGGTATTGGTTGCTTTCTTGTACCATGTTTTTCTGGAGTGTCTCTGGCTTTGGTCACCTGCTTGGTTTCTGTGGCCCTGTCACAGACTGACACTCCAAAGACTGTGAACCATGTCCTGTACAGGGCCAAATGTGTCAGGAAAGATCTTGCCCCTGCTCCCCTTTTTTCCCCAGCCATTTGGGTGTGTGTCAAACACTTTTGCTTACCTTGTCCTGTTACATTCCAGCACTGGCCCGACTACTCCAAGCATTCCTTTCTCACTTGATGACAAGTCTTCCTTCAAGTGCTCAGACCAGATCCCTGGGCCACTGTTGACTCAGTTTGTCCAGAACTGACCACTTCTTATGCCTCCCCTTTGAATACCCTTGTTGAACCACAAGGTTGAGAGCCTCCACCACATCAGAGCACCAGGGCTGCCTAAGGGTGGGGTTTGGGGGAGTCTTGTTGTCACCCTGGTGGCCAAGCCTTTCTTAATTGGGAGGGTGTTTGGGGAAGCAGCTTGGCCTGATGCCTGTCTCCCTCACATGACCTGGGGACAGTCTGGTACTTATGAGTGAGTGCCTCAGGTATAGAACACACAGGGCCCTGGTGAGCTGGTGTCCTTGTATGTGTGGAGGACCATGGGCCGTGACCAAGGTGCAGCAAGTGCCTTGCACCTGGTGTTCAGAGAGCCCAGTACTGGCTGGGCAGGACCAGGAACTATGTGTTCAGGGCCTGGACAGGCTTGGGGGAGGCAAGGCAGAGCAAGGCTGCAACAGTAGCCGCTCCTTGCACCTTACCTCGGTGTGCCCCTCATTGATTCTAAATGAGGCCCAAGGGTCCCCTGAGGGTCTCCCAGGAAGTTAAGGTCTCAAGGTCATACCCCTCTCTTGTCCCTTCCTCAGCCCCACAGGTTCCTTCACTTTCTGTGATTCTCAGAGGCCCCAGGAGACCAGGTGATGGCAGCAGCCAGGCTCCTGCCAGTGCCTGCAGGACCTCAGGTAAGCTGTCCCCAGTACCTGTGCAGTGCCTCCAGCCAGAGAGCCCTGTGGTTCCTTCCATGCCCCATAGCTCCTGAGAGCAGCCAGAGCATCACTGCATTCCCTAAACTCTATGGCACCTTCCCATTACCTACCTGAGCTCACAGAGCCCCCCATTGCCAGCTGCTCATGTCACATGCACCCACTCCCTATCACAGAGGTCAGGATTTGATCTTACCTGCAGCAGCCCCTGTCGTTTCAGGCCAAGTTAACCTTCGAGGATGTGGCTGTGCTCCTCTCCCAGGACGAATGGAACCGGCTGGGCCCTGCTCAGAGGGGCCTGTACAGAAATGTGATGATGGAAACCTATGGGAATGTAGTCTCATTGGGTAAGGCCCCTTAGCAGGCCTTGTCTGTGTATATGTGTGTTGCACTGGGGTGGCGGCTTCCCAGGATAGGGGGCCTGGGGCAGGCTGGTCCTGGAGATTTTCCCTCATCACCTCTTTGGGTGCTCAGCTCCAGCAGAACATCAGTCCTGTCCATTTTCATGTCCCCACAAGTGGCTTGGGGGGGCGGGTGGGGCGGCTCTGTAAATGTTGTATAAACAAAGACTTCCTTCTCCATGAGCAGGACTTCCAATAACCAAGCCTGACTTAATCTCCCAGCTGGAGCGAGGGGAAGATCCCTGGGTCCTGGATGGGAAGGGGGCTAAGGAGAGCCAGGACCTGTGGAGTGGCCACTCAGGTGAGTAAGGAGAGCCGTCCCCTCCTTCACTGAGGGCTAAACAGGTCCTCAGCACAGCTGTGGACCTAGTCCAGACTGAGCCGCTGACTGCAGTGGCTTCCACCTGGGGTAAAACCTGTCCAGCCTTATCTGGCAAAGGAGTCTGTTGGCTGGGGGTTGCTGAGCCAGGCAGTAGTCCATGGCCAGAAGTGAGCATAGCAGTGGATTTCAACAAGCTGTTGTGCAGAGCCATATAGAGAAAATTAAGGCATGGCTGCAGTGATTCTGTCCCTGACCAGAGGGACTGGTTAGCCAGATTTGGTCCTAATGAGACGTTCAGGTTTTGAGAGTTACCTGATGATTTAGCAAAGAACAGAGCATCCTAAATGTAGAAAGGAAGTGTCTCAGCCTGCCACTCAAGGTGAAATGCTGAAAGCACAGCACACTGTTTCATCTCAAGAACAAGACAAAGGAGCCCGCATCCCCATGTCCATATAACACTATACTGGGTGTCCTGTGTATGAAATCACGCAAAACCAAAGCTATAAGAATTGGAGGGCCGGGCGCGGTGCCTCACGCCTGTAATCCCAGCACTTTGGGAGGCCGAGGCGGGTGGATCACGAGGTCAAGAGATCGAGACCATCCTGGTCAACATGGTGAAACCCCGTCTCTACTAAAAATACAAAAAATTAGGTGGGCATGGTGGCGCGTGCCTGTCATCCCAGCTACTCAGGAGGCTGAGGCAGGAGAATTGCCTGAACCCAGGAGGTGGAGGTTGCAGTGAGCCGAGATCGCGCCATTGCACTCCAGCCTGGGTAACAAGAGCGAAACTCCGTCTCCAAAAAAAAAATAATTGGAAAGAAAAAAGCATCGTTTGCAGTTTACGTGATTGTCAACTTGGAAAATGATTAAAATTCACAAGGGAAATTACCAGTTTTGCTGGATATAATTTTTGTTTTGTTTTGTTTTGAGACAGTCTTGCTCTGTCACCCAGGCTGGAGTGCAGTGGCATGAGTTCTTGGCTCACTGCAATCTCTGGTTCCTGGGTTCAAGCATTTCTTATGCCTCAGCTTCTCGAGTAGCTGGGATTACGGGTCTGTGCCACCAAAGAACCTCCTACTTCAGTAAGGTAACATCTAAGTCTTAGGAAAACCCCAGTCAGCCTGTCCTATCATAACGTGCCCCACTTGGTGTGAGTAGGGACAGTTGGGCAAAACCTCCATTGGCTGATCAGCTTCAGCATTTCAGTTGTGGTGGTTTTCTCCTTGAAAACTCCTTATTTCTAGAGTTTATGTAAATAGGGTACCAGGTGTTACAGTCTACCTCTTACTGGCCTGCAAAATCAGATATCCTCAGAGGAACAAGGTACATGCCAGCCTTAGAGGAATTAATTTTCCAGTGACTATAAACAAGAAGACACATCATCTTGCATAGAACTTCTGCATGCTAACTGCGGCTGTAGGAGGCAGGGCATTTGCCGCCACTACCAAACTAGTCCTGGGCTCCCTGGTATCTTAACTGTGTACTCGCCTGATGGAGAGCTTAAACTCCCTTTGAGTGCCCTTTGAATTTGATACCACAAAGACTGTGAAATTCTCTGGGATCATGGTTGGTTGGATATGAGAAGTTTTTTCACAGAAGCACCTGGTCACCTCACCGCTGGCACAGGTCACAGAGGACAATGGGACTGAGTAAGTTTTAGATTACTGATATGCATAGAAGCAGAAGCCACCTGCCACGACCTGGATCACTGCCACTGGCATCAGAGCCAGTGAGGAGTAGAATATGCCTTTGTCTTGTCCTGGCAGTTCCTCAGGATGGATAAGTGTCTGCACCTGCCCAGCCCTGCCGCTGCTATTTTTAACTCAGTAAATTGTACTTACATGTTGTAACAGCAATGAAAGGATTTTCCAGTCTTTTTTTTGTTTTTCTTTTTCTGAGAGACGGAGTCTCACTCTGGGTCTCCCAGGCTGGAGTGTAATGGCACAATCTTGGCTCACTGCAATGTTCACTTCCCAGGTTCAAGTGATTCTCCTACCTCAGCTTCCCAAGCAGCTGGGACTACAGGCATGCACCATCACATCCAGCTAATTTTTTAATTTTTTTGTAGAGACAGGGTTTCACTATATGTTGGCCAGGCTGGTCTCAAACTCCTGACCTCAAGTGATCCCACCCACCTCTGCCTCCGAAAGTGCTGGGATTGCTGGCATGAGCCACTGCACTCAGCCAGGATTTTCCACTCTTGAAGGGAGTATTTTGTTGTCACTTCAACTCACTGTTTTTTTTCCAGACAACGTCAAATGGGAACACACTACAGCCTGTATGCAACAAGACAGTTTATCTTGTCCATGGGGTAAGTGTATGCCTGATCTTTTTAATTCAGTACAATCTCTGAAGGTGTTAATGTTTTATGAGAATGTAGAGACTACTTGGGGTGCTGTGAAGCTTGTTATACAACTCACACAATTGCTACAAAACACCAGGGAGTGTCTTTTTGTCTTTTTTCATTTTTAAACCTTTTTTTCTTTTCTTGTGAGCCATAGTAGGCCTAGATTTTTTTAATTAAAAATTTATTTCAGGCCGGGCGCAGTGGCTCAAGCCTGTAATCCCAGCACTTTGGGAGGCCGAGGCGGGTGGATCACAAGGTCGAGAGATCGAGACCACCCTGGTCAACATGGTGAAACCCCGTCTCTACTAAAAATACAAAAAACTAGCTGGGCATGGTGGCACGTCCCTGTAATCCCAGCTACTCAGGAGGCTGAGGCAGGAGAATTGCCTGAGCCCAGGAGGCGGAGGTTGCGGTGAGCCGAGATCGCGCCATTGCACTCCAGCCTGGGTAACGAGAGCGAAACTCCGTCTCAAAAAAAAAAAAAAAAAAAAAAAAAATTGTTTCAGTGAAATTAATTTTTTAATTAAAATTTCTTTCTTTTTATTTGTTTTGTCATGTCTAAAACATACTTCTCTACTCTATACTTAAAACATACTTCCGGCCGGGCGCGGTGGCTCAAGCCTGTAATCCCAGCACTTTGGGAGGCCGAGGCGGGTCGATCACAAGGTCGAGAGATCAAGACCAACCTGGTCAACATGGTGAAACCCCGTCTCTACTAAAAATACAAAAAATTAGCTGGGCATGGTGGCGCATGCCTGTAATCCCAGCTACTCAGGAGGCTGAGGCAGGAGAATTGCCTGAGCCCAGGAGGCGGAGGTTGCGGTGAGCCGAGATCGCGCCATTGCACTCCAGCCTGGGTGACAAGAGCAAAACTCCGTCAAAAAAAAAAAAAAAAAAAAAAAAAAACGTACTTCCCCACCCCCACTCTATACTTAAAACAACAACTGAAACCATCATTCTAAAAGCAAGTGACACTTGGCTGAAGTCCAACTTCTACACAGGATGGATGCAGGATGCAAGTAAGTGTGGCTTGTACCTGGCGCTCACAGCAACTTGAGTCCATCTCACAAACAGTCATATGATGCTTTCATGCCATGGATGATTGAGCAAGTAATCTCTTATACAGTTTAATATGTATGTGTATATGTGCGTGTGTGTATTTTTCTTCTTTTTTTTTGAGACAGAATCTCGCTCAGTTGGCCTGGCTAGAGTACACTGTAGAGACGGGGTCTTGCTATGTTGCCCAAGGTGGTCTCAAACTCCTGGCCTCAAACAGTTCTCCTGCCTCAGCCTCCCAATATGCTGGGATTACAGGCCTGAGCCACTGTGCCTGGCCTGTTTTTTTAAATTATTAAAGACATCTTTCCATTTTGTTACTTTGGCATCAGGTCAGAAGCCACCCATTCAGGAAACTTTTTTTTCCTTTAGACAGGCTCTCACTCTGTTGCCAAGGCTGGAGTACAGTGGCATGATCACAGCCCACTGCAGTCTCAACCCCCTGTGCTCAAGCATTCCTCCCACCTCAGCTTCCCAAGTAGCTATAACCATAGGTGTGCGCAACAATGCCCAGCTGATTTCTGTAGAAACAAGGTTTCAACATGTTGCACAGGCTGGTCTCAAACTCCTGGGCTCAAGTGATCCACCTGCCTTGCCCTCCCAAAGTGCTGGGATTACAGACATGAGCCACCATGTCTGGTGAAACTTCAAACAATAGAAATAATACTCTTCACTGCAAATGAATAACTATTTCTTCAGCCTACAGGCTTTTATTCCGTGAAGATGAAGCTTATACATTAAAAAAAAAAGAAAGAACTAAAACTTGTTTCCATCAGTTTAAAAAACACATAGCCAGCCTAGGCAAGATAGTGAGACCCAATACTACAAAATAAAATTTAAAATTAGCCAGACATGGTTGTGCATTCCTGTAGTCTCAGCTATGTGGAGGCTGAGATGGGAGGATTGCTTGAGCCCAGGAGGTTGAGGTTGCAGTCAGCCGTGATCACATCACTGTACTCCAGCCTAGGTGACAGAGACCTGTCACCCAAAAAACCCACAGAATAACTTTCTAAAATGAGACATGTTAAAAATTATATTAAACTAGGCCAAGTGCAGTGGCTCACACCTGGAATCCCAGCACTTGGGGAGGCTGAGGCGGGTAGATCACCTGAGGTCAGGAGTTCGAAACCAGTCTGGCCAACATGGTGAAACCCTGTCTCTACTAAAAATACAAAAACTTAGCCAGGCATGGTGGTGCATGCCTATAATCCCAGCTACTTGGGAAGCTGAGGCAGGAGAATTGCTTGAACCTAGAAGGCAGAGGTTGCAGTCATTATTCAACAGTAAAGTGGAAATCAAAACCATTGTACCATGTTACACCTTCAGAATGGAAAAACTGGAAAGATCTGACAATATCAAATGTGAGTGAGGATGTAGGGCAGCTAATAGGGATATAAATTCACATAACCACTTTGGAAAAATTTGGCATCCAATGAAATTGAAAACATGGTCACATTCTGAGAGAATGGAGGTAAAAAACTAAAAAAAGAAATTGAAAACATGAATTCCTATGTTCACCACTTCCCACTCCTGCATATTTATACGGCAAGGGCATTTGTGTGTAAGCACCAGGAATCATAGGAGAATCTTCACAGAAGCATGTTTCATGATTTAAAAAAACATTTGAAAAGAATTCAGGGCTGGGCACAGTGGCTCACGCCTTTAATCCCAGCACTTTGGGAGGCTGAGACAGGTGGATCACAAGATCAGGAGTTCGAGACCATCCTGGCCAACATGGTGAAACCTTGTCTCTACCAAAGATAAAAAAAATTAGCTGGGCATGGTGGCGCGTGCCTGTAATCCCAGCTACTCAGGAGGCTGAGGCAGGAGAATCACTTCGACCTGCGAGGCGGAGGTTGCAGTGAGCCAAGATTGTGCCATTGCACTCCAGCCTGAGCAACAAAGCGAGCCTCCATCTCAAAAAAAGAAAATTCAAATAAATTAAAATAAAATTCAAATGTTCATAAACAGAATTGACTAAACATAAACTATGGCATTTTAACGTAATGGAATATACTGCAGTGAAGATGATTGAATAACTGCTACACAGCAACATGATGGATCTCAAAAACAATGCTGAGGGTGAAAACAAGTTCCAGAAGACTGTGCTCCATGAAACTATAGAAAGCTTAGAAACATGCATAACTAAATAAAATAATGTTTAAACCTAGGCACAATGGCTCACACCTGTAATCCCAGCACTTTGAGAGGCCAAGATGGGAGGATCACTTGAGCCCAGGAGCTTGAGGCTGCAGTGAGCTATGATAGTAGCCACTGCACTCCAGCGTGGGTGACAGCACAAGACTCCATCCAAAAAGAAAAAAAAATCACTATTGTCCTCAGCACCTCTCACCTACCGCCCACTCACACACAGTCAGCTTGCAGGGCACTTGACTTGGCTCCCAGAAAGGTCTTCACCCCAGTCTTTCCTGCCATCGTGCTGCTGCTCCTGTAGGCCTCATCTCTGGCCTAACCTTGGCAGCGGATTCCCATCATGTCCCTATGCACCTCCAGTCTTGTCCTTCCCACCCCTCCTCCTGCCAGTGCATTCTCCACGTGAAATTCTCTTCCACAGGGCCAGGTGCAGTAGTTCACGCCTGTAATCCCAGCACTTTGGGAAGCCGAAGTAGGTGAATCACTCGAGGTCAAGAGTTCAAGACCAGCCTGGCCAACATGGCAAAATGCCATCTCTACTAAAAATACAACCGGGCGTGGTGGCATGCCACCGTAATCCCACTTAGGAGGCTCAGACACAAGAATCGCTTGAACCCGGGAGGTGGAGGTTGCAGTGAGCCTGAACTGCGTCACTGTGCTCCACCCTGGCAACAGAGCAAGACTCTGTCTCAAAAAAAAAAGGTATATACAAGTCTGTTGGCCTCCAGATAGCATCCCCACCCCCAACTTGCTTACAAGAGCTCATACCTCTCCCTGCCTGCCCATGTGCCGCTGTCTGCCCCACAGAACACCCACGTTGTAGTGTAGGCCTGCATGTAAGCTCTGTCCACATGTGGACTCTAGGGAGGGCAGGGCTCATGCAGCACTGGGCTGTTTCCCAGCTGTTCTATGCACTCCACACAGGGGTGTGACCTCAAACTGGACTTTACGCCTTTCTCTTAAACCTCACTATTAGTCTTGGCACATTCCTGTTTGGAAACATTATGTTCTGATTTCTAGTTGTTTGACACAGTTAATGATGGTTCTGTTCCTCTCTAGCTCACACAGCCATGTGCATTGAAGGATTTTGCACCTTCATCAGCAAGGCCAGTTTCAGGGTTGCACTTGCTTTTCAGTTTTGAGTAGTGTTAACATTTTCATTTTGGATTTGTTCTTTCAGAATATGAAACCAAGGGAGAGAATCAAAATACAGACTTGAGTCTGAAGCCATTAATTTCAGAGGAAACAGTGATTCTGGGGAAAACACCCTTGCGGAGGACTGATCAAGAAAATAATGAAACGAAGCGAAGCTTCTGTCTAAGTCCAAATTCTGTCGACCACCGTGAAATTCAGGTCTTAAGCCAAAGCATGCCACTCACTCCACACCAGGCAGTGCCTAGTGGAGAGAGGCCCTACATGTGTGTCGAGTGTGGGAAGTGCTTTGGCCGGAGTTCCCACCTCCTTCAGCATCAGCGTATCCACACTGGAGAGAAGCCCTATGTGTGCAGTGTATGTGGGAAGGCCTTCAGCCAGAGCTCAGTCCTCAGTAAACACAGAAGAATCCACACAGGTGAGAAGCCCTATGAGTGTAACGAGTGTGGAAAAGCCTTTAGAGTGAGCTCAGATCTTGCTCAGCATCACAAGATACACACAGGAGAGAAGCCTCACGAATGTCTTGAGTGTCGGAAAGCCTTCACTCAACTCTCACATCTCATTCAGCACCAGCGGATCCACACAGGAGAAAGGCCCTATGTGTGTCCATTGTGTGGGAAAGCCTTCAACCATAGCACTGTCTTGCGGAGCCACCAGAGGAGTACACACCGGGGAGAAGCCTCACAGGTGCAATGAGTGTGGGAAAACCTTCAGTGTGAAGAGGACACTCCTGCAGCACCAGAGGATCCACACCGGGGAGAAGCCCTATACGTGCAGCGAGTGTGGGAAGGCCTTCAGTGACCGCTCAGTCCTCATTCAGCACCACAACGTGCACACTGGGGAGAAGCCCTACGAGTGCAGCGAGTGTGGGAAGACCTTCAGCCACCGCTCTACCCTGATGAATCACGAGCGGATCCACACTGAAGAAAAACCCTATGCATGCTACGAATGCGGGAAGGCCTTCGTTCAGCACTCACACCTGATCCAGCACCAGAGAGTCCACACTGGGGAAAAGCCCTATGTGTGTGGTGAGTGCGGGCATGCCTTCAGTGCACGTCGGTCTCTGATCCAGCATGAGAGAATCCACACTGGTGAAAAGCCTTTCCAGTGCACAGAATGTGGCAAAGCCTTCAGCCTAAAAGCAACTCTGATTGTGCACCTGAGGACCCACACGGGCGAGAAGCCCTATGAGTGCAATAGCTGTGGGAAAGCCTTCAGCCAGTACTCAGTGCTCATCCAGCACCAGCGGATCCACACAGGTGAGAAGCCCTACGAGTGCGGGGAGTGTGGACGTGCCTTCAACCAGCACGGCCACCTAATCCAGCACCAGAAAGTGCACAAGAAGTTGTGACCCGTGGCTGAAACAAGAGTCCATCTCACAGAAACTGCATGTGGAACTACAAGCAGCCTTCAGCCCAAAAGAAGTTTCTGTTAACTCTGTAAGAATCCTTTCTTTGGTAATTCCTGTGTCACAAAATAACTCCGAAAAGAAGCACTTGGCATGATGTTCCCATGGAAAAATTTCAGAGGCTACCTGTTTTTATTTTCGTCACCATCTTGAGGTTATATTGGAGAGTAATCATAGAATTGTAGTGAATTTTGGTAAAAACTGCCACAATTCTTTCTCTGACATTAGTTTATTTGAACTAAGGGAATTTAAGGCATAAGAACTATTGTCCCAATAAAATCTTCTTACATTCCAAATGAAGTTCTTTTTCTAAGAACATTACATGCCCTTCATAAATATCAATTAACCATACTGATTGTTACACTTAAAATTAGAAAATTTAATATTTTCAGTGTTAAAACACTAAAGTGCTGTACGGATAAACTGATACAAAAAGATTTTCATCAAGTAAGTAAAATGAATGGAAATCCTAAGTGTGTGGAAACACCTGTTTTGTATAAAACAAGGAAAAGTCTAACGATATATTAGTGAGAAATTACGTAAATTTAGAAAACTTTTTTTTTTTTTTTTTTTTTGAGACAGAGCTTTGCTCTGTTGCCCAGGCTGGAGTGCAGTGGCATGATCTCGGCTCAGTGCAGCCTCCACCTCCCAGGTTCAAGCGATTCTTGTGCCTTAACCTCCCAAGTAGCTGGGATTACAGGTGTGCACCACCACCACGCCTGGCTAGTTTTTGTATTTTTAGTAGAGATGGAGTTTCATCATGTTAGCCAGGCTGATCTTGAACTCCTGGCCTCAAGTGATCTGTCCACTTTGGCCTTCCCAAAGTGTTGTAATTACAGGTGTGAGACACCACACCTGGCCTAGAAAACCCTTTATCTGGTGCTTTGTTCAAGATCAGAAGGGGTATCCTAACTTTTTAGTAAAAATTCAATTCAAAAATGGGTATGTTCCTCAAAACCTGCACTTATGATCTGCAGACCCTGTGCCCCAGAAACCATGGGATGTCTCAATTCCTATGCAGGCATAGGAAGGGAGCTTCACTCTCAGTGCAGATCTCATAGCTGTTAAATCTTATGGTATCATCTTTACATCTTATGGTATCCTCCCCCCTCAAAGAAATGCTGAAAAGACTTCTTTGGTACATATATTTAAAACATAAGTTTCTCAAATTCAGATAGCTCTTTTTTGCTATCTCTAATATTTCTATTATTTGAAGGATCTATGTTTCATTTTTTTACTCCTGGTTCAAGAGTAGTATTCATTGCCATATTACTGTGATGAAGATGAATCTGGTTTATTGATAATTAAAATTTTGTATTCGTTCAGAATTATTTGTTCTAAGGATACAGTTCTTAAAACTGAATTTGTGTCAGAACCATTTCTGGGAGCAACTAGCTACAAAGGAAACAAATGTATGAGATTTAAGCCACTTCAAATTCTCCTCAATGTGTTAAGTGCCTGAGATAGAGAAGGGCTGTCTTCACCCCTGACCCCCACCTCCAACATCTGTCAGCTTGATGGGAAGAAAGTAGGCACTAGGACATTGATCCTTTTGTTGTTTTAAAGATGGTCTTGCTCTGTCACCAGGCTGGAGTGCAGTGGTGCCATCATGGCTGCTGCCTCAAAACTCCAGGGCTGAAGCATTCCTCCCACAGCTTCCCAAAGGGTTTAAGATAACAGGCATGAGCTGCTGTGCCCATGCAGGCATTGATTCTTAAGTCCACAGCAGAACACCATAATGTAGACCAGGCGTCCCCAAACTACGGACCCGCGGGCCGCACGCGGCCCCCTGAGGCCATTTATCCGGCCCCCCCGCCGCACTTCAGGAAGGGGCACCTCTTTCATTGGTGGTCAGTGAGGAGCACAGTATGTGGCGGCCCTCCCACGGTCAGGGACAGTGAACTGGCCCCCTGTGTAAAAAGTTTGGGGACACCTGATGTAGACAGAAGCTTGTTCCCCCTTCTATGTACAGACACTGATGAAAAACTGACAACCGTGAGGTATTAACTCCAGAGAGGAGCTGGTAACTGATTTGTTAACTTGAGAAAGGAGCTGACATTGCTGGTGTTTTACTTCAGAGCAACTAAACCCCTGAAGTGAAATTCCAGAGAAACTAATATTACTGAGGTGTTACTTCAGAGGCACTGAGATCACTGAAGGGAAACTCAAGACAGCTCAAGTAACCAAGGTGTTAACTTCAGAGGCGTTATTGATTCCATGAGGTGTTGCTTCAGAGAAGACAAGAGCTTGTTACTTTGGAGAAGAGCTGAGATCACTGAGGTGTCACGTAAGCAAGAAAATGAGACAATTAGTGTTATTTCAGAGGATCTGAGTACACTGAGGTATGTCCTCAGAGAGCAGGTCAGATCACTGGGTGTTACTTCTGGAAGGAACTGACATCACTAATGATTACTGTAGAGTAGCTCTGACAACTGAGGTTTACTTCAGAGTAGCTGAAATAACTGAAAGGGGATCACTAAGGTATGACGTTAGAGATTAGATCATTGTAATTCTGAGAAGTTGAAATCACTGAAGTGAAACTCCAGAAGAATGGAGGTAACTGAGTGCTATTTCATAAAGGAAGTGAAATGTCTATATTGTACCATCAGAAAGATGAGAATGCTGAGGTGTTACTTAGGAGATGAGATCACAGGTTCTGCTTCAGAGAAAAGCTGAAATCAATGAGGTGTTACTTAAGGGAGGAGCTGAGATTACTGAGATGTTTTCAGGACCAAGATAATATCACTCAGGTATTAGACGCAACAGAGATGTTGCTTAAGAGAGGCTGAGATCGCTGATGTGATTCTTCAGAAAGTAAATGAGATTACTAAGGTGTTACTTTAGAAAGGAGAGGAAATAACTGAGTTGTTCGCTGGAGTTGAGATCACATAGGTGTTATATCAGAGGTGGCTGAAATCACTAAAGTGATTCTTCAACAAGAGGTTGAGATCACTAGGGGTGATGCTTTAGAAAGAGGTTACTTTAGGGAAAAGCTATGATCACTGAGATGTGACTTCAGATGGAGCTGAGATCACTGATGTAATAGTGAAAGAGGAACTGAGATTATGGAGGTGTTGCTTTGGAGCCAAGAGGAGATCATGCAGGTAGCTAGATAAGATCATTGAGGTAAGTCCAGAAACCTGAGATCACCTCAATGTTAATTTTAGAGAGAAAGTGAAGCCAGGCGTGGTGGCTCAAGCCTGTAATCCCAGCACTTTGGGAGGCCGAGGCGGGTGGGTCACGAGGTCGAGAGATCGAGACCATCCTGGTCAACATGGTGAAACCCCGTCTCTACTAAAAGTGCAAAAAATTAGGTGGGCATGGTGGCGCGTGCCTGTAATCCCAGCTACTCAGGAGACTGAGGCAGGAGAATTGCCTGAACCCAGGAGGCAGAGGTTGCGGTGAGCCGAGATCGCGCCATTGCACTCCAGCCTGCGTAACAAGAGCGAAACTCCGTCTCAAAAAAAAAAAAAAAAAAAAAAGAAAGTGAGACCACTCTGATGCTATCTTAAAATCTATAGACCGGACACGGACACGATGGCTCACACCTGTAATCCCAGCACCTTGGGAGGCTGAGGTGGACAGATCACAAGGTCGAGAGTTTGAAACCAGCCTGGCCAACATGGTGAAACCCCATTTCTACTAAAAATACAAAAACCAGCAGGGGCGTGGTGGTGGGTGCCTGTAATCCCAGCTACTCAGGAGGCTGAAGGAGGAGAATCCCTTGAACCCAGGAGGCAGAGGTTGCAGTGAGCTGAGATTGTGCCGTTATACTCTAGCCTGGGTGACAAGAGCAAGACTGTCTCAAAAAAAAAAAAAAAAAAAAAAAATCTGTGAAGGGAAGCTGCCAACCCATGCTAGTTGAGTGTGCAGTTGGCATGTGATTCAGTGGTCGCTGCTCAGTGCCCACTACTATTCAGGCCCCAATTTCTAATCATTAAAGACAGTGATACTCCATTTAAGATGAGAATAATTCAATATACAGGAATCGTTGTTTAGAAAGACTTTGTATCACAGGACAAGTTACACAGTAGTTATTCTGAATTCCAATAATCTAGGGTTTTCAGGGAAATCCTTCCAAAAAGTATAGTTTGTTTTCCTGCCTTCTTAAAGGGAGCTTAATATCATTCTGCCTGTTCTTGCTGTGTCAGGCTGCCATTGATCCACTGGTGAGAATGCAGGCTCAGGTGTCCATGGAGCCAGGAAGTGGGCTTCAATGCCCTTCTTTCTGAGGATTCCAAGGCTACGTATTCTTGCCACTCACCACCTCCTCTCCAAAGAGAAGGAGGCGGCACATGACCTACTGGAACATACCTTTTTGGGATATAACATCAAAGGCCAGAACCCCTTTCATGCTGATAACAGCCTTCTCAACCATTATCTTTTGCCTCTGACTTGTCAGCAGCATTCCACCTTTATTTTGGATTTTTTTGTTTTATTCAGAAGTCTGTATATTTTAGGTATTTAAATACTTCTATTTGGCTGGGTGCAATGGCTCACACCTGTAATCCCAGCACTTTGGGAAGCTGAGGTGGGCGGATCACTTGAACCCAGGACTTTGAGATCAGCCAGACCAACACGGCAAAACCCTTCTCTACAAAAAGAAAAAAAAAGCCCACAAAAATTACCTGGGTATGGTGACTTGCACATGTAGTTCCAGATACGCAGGAGGCTAAGGTAGAAGGATCGATTGAAGCCAGGAGTTCAAGACTGTAGTGAGCTGTGATCATACAACTGCACAGTAGCCTGGGCAACAGAGCAAAACCTCATCACAAAAAAATGCATATATATTTCAATACTAAGAATTTGAAACTTGGTTCTGTTCAAAGTTCCTATTATTTTGGAAAACATTTTAGTCCACCTGGAATTTATTTCTGTGTATAATCTGACACTTTCAAATAAAGTAATGACTAGAACAAGTATTTGTAGTGAAGGAAGATCAATAACTTTGGCATAAAGATCTCCTATAAATCAGTGACCATAGGACATGAACATGCATTCCAGATAAGAAAATATACAACTTGGAAAAGGCTCAAGTGTGCCAATCCCAAAACAAATAAAAAATGCTACCCACTAACCAATTAGTAAAGGTTATCCTGTAATGACCAGGTATGAGGAAATGTGCGCTTTCATGCATTGCTGATGATGTATCAATACAATCCTTTTTCCCTGGAATTTCTCTGGGCCGTAACGTGGCTTCTGCTGTGCTATCCCATGTCAGGTGTGAGGAGACGGGGTATGGCTCATTCCTTCTCTGGAGGAAGATGACGGCATACTGGGCTTGGCATGTACCAGGCAGCCCTGAGGGAGAGGAGGCATTCCCAGAAAACAAACTGGGAAATCTCTGGCCACCAACGGCCACGCAGTGTACAAAGGGGCTGGAGACGGAGGCTGGGAGTCTCTTGTCTAGGAGTTGGACTTGCCCTGGGGTGAGGGAAACTTTTGGGTGGTTAGTAGTGTGTATTAGGGTTCTCTAGAGGGAGAGAACTAATAGAGTACACACACACATACACACACACACACACACACAGTTTATTATTATTAGACACAGAGTTTCACTCTTGTTGCCCAGGCTGGAGTGTCACTCGATAAATGTATTTTGCATAACTCTCTACTCAGTTTATGCCAAGGACTATCAGTGTTCTCCATACTATCAGAAGTAGAGCCAGGCACAGTGGCTCATGCCTGTAAACCCAGCACTTTGGGAGGCCGAGGCAAGTAGATCACGAGGTAAGGAGTTTGAGACCAGCCTGACCAACACGGTGAAACCCTGTCTTTATTAAAAATACAAAAATTAGCCAGGCATGGTGGTGCATACCCATAATCCCAGCTACTCAGGAAACTGAGGCAGGAGAATCACTTGAATCCGGGAGGCAGAGGTTGCAGTGAGCCAAGATCACGCCATTGCACTCCAGCCTGAGTGACAGAGCGAGACTCCTCCTCAAAAAAAAAAGGAAAAAAAAAAAAAAAAAGTAGAGTTCTTAGCATTTTGGGATCTAATCATATTAAGCAGCCAAATCCAGAAACCCAAAACCAACAAAAGAACTCCATCCTTAATATTCTGTTCCTCTAGAACCACTGCTGGTACCAAAATCTGTACTAGTCAGGGTTCTCCAGAGAACAGAGCTAATAGGATATATATAAAGGGGAGTGTGTATCAACTTCCGCAATCACAAGATCCCACAACAGACTGTCTGCAAGCTTGAGGAGCAAGGACAGCCAGTCCGATTCTCAAAGCTGAAGAACTTGGAGTCTGATGTCCGTGGGCAGGAAGCGTCCAGCACAGGAGAAAGATATGGGCTGGGAGGCTAGGCCACCTCTCATTTTCACGTTTTTCTGCCTGCTTTATATTCACTGGCAGCTTATTAGATGGTGCCCACCAGATTAAGGGTGGGCCTGCCTTTCCCAGACTACTGACTCAAATGTTAATCTCCTTTGGCAACACCCTCATAGACACAAATAGGATCAATACTTTGTATCCTTCAAGTCAATCAAGTCATCCGTCAGTATTAACCGTCACATTTATAAATTATCCCAGCCTGTAAGCAGCAGTGGGCTCTGGAATTAAGCCGGTCCCACATCTCCACAGGTTTTTGCAATATACCTGCGTTGCTGTCGAGCCACACACTCAGCGCTCTCGCTCTCTCTCTCTGTGCGTGTGTGTGTGTGCGCGCGCGCACGCACAATGCTCGCGTGATTCTTTAACCTTTGCCCTCCCTTCAAAACCTAACATTGTGGTGCCAAAACCCAGGATGGGGATTGGGTTCTAAATGGGTCAGTCTTTTCTTGCAACCTGGAAAGCGGCAAGCAGCAAAAACCAGACCCAGGGCTGCTTCCAGATCCTGAGTGGACTCCCCATTCCCAGCTCAGACCCAGGCCTGCTTCCAGGTCCTGAGTGGACTCCCCATTCCCAGCCCAGACCCAGGCCTGCATCCAGATCCTGAGTGGACTCCCCATTCCCAGCCCAGACCCAGGCCTGCTTCCAGATCCTGAGTGGACTCCCCATTCCCAGCTCAGACCCAGGCCTGCTTCCAGATCCTGAGTGGACTCCCTATGCCCAGCCCAGACCCAGGCCTGCTTCCAGATCCTGAGTGGACTCCCTATGCCCAGCCCAGACCCAGGCCTGCTTCCAGATCCTGAGTGGACTCCCCATTCCCAGCCCAGACCCAGGCCTGCTTCCAGATCCTGAGTGGACTCCCTATGCCCAGCCCAGACCCAGGCCTGCTTCCAGGTCCTGAGTAGACTCCCCATTCCCAGCCCAGACCCACGCCTGCGTCCAGGTCCTGAGTGGACTCCCTATGCCCAGCCTAGACCCAGGCCTGCTTCCAGGTCCTGAGTAGACTCCCCATTCCCAGCCCAGACCCACGCCTGCGTCCAGGTCCTGAGTGGACTCCCTATGCCCAGCCCAGACCCAGGCCTGCTTCCAGATCCTGAGTGGACTCCCTATGCCCAGCCCAGACCCAGGCCTGCTTCCAGATCCTGAGTGGACTCCCTATGCCCAGCCCAGACCCAGGCCTGCTTCCAGATCCTGAGTGGACTCCCCATTCCCAGCCCAGACCCACGCCTGCGTCCAGGTCCTGAGTGGACTCCCTATGCCCAGCCCAGACCCAGGCCTGCTTCCAGATCCTGAGTGGACTCCCCATTCCCAGCCCAGACCCACGCCTGCTTCCAGATCCTGAGTGGACTCCCCATGCCCAGCCCAGACCCAGGCCTGCATCCAGGTCCTGAGTGGACTCCCTATGCCCAGCCCAGACCCAGGCCTGCTTCCAGGTCCTGAGTGGACTCCCTATGCCCAGCCCAGACCCAGGCCTGCTTCCAGATCCTGAGTGGACTCCCTATTCCCAGCCCAGACCCAGGCCTGCATCCAGATCCTGAGTGGACTCCCCATTCCCAGCCCAGACCCAGGCCTGCTTCCAGGTCCTGAGTGGACTCCCTATTCCCAGCTTTGTTCCCTTACTCACCTTCTCAGGCCCCTGTCTGGCTTCCAGATCCCAATCAAACTCTCCATCTTCTTTTTCCTTCCTTCCCCTTTCCAGGCGGCTCCAGGAAGTATCAATCGCACTGCTGGACATCACATCCAACATCCATCTCCAATTAGTGGGTGAGGCTTTTTTTCCTTTCCACATTCCTCTTATATTTCTGCTGGTTTACCAGAAAATTCCAGCACTGGGTGAGAGATCTCCCCAGTTACCACGTAACCATGGCCTGGCTTCTCAGGGGACACCCTCAGAACGCTCACTGCTCTGGCCACTCCAGCCTCCAGGGTACCGCAAAGAGCTGTAGGGACGTCCTGGCTCTCCCACGTCCCCTCTCCCAGGAGGAACTGGGGTACTCACTCCCTTCTGGGGTATTCACTTCCCTCTAGGGTACTTCCCTTCTCTAAGTTTCTCACCTTTCCAGCCACCAGTATGAAGCAAGGCTCCTCAAAACCTCCTCAAGACACCACTCTCAGATGTTTCATCCAGGACCTCCAAGCCCAGGACTTGGCAGACTCCATTAAACTGAATGCTTTGCTTTCCTCTGTACCTTCCTCTGTAATGTTGCCTAGCCCCAGTGTAAACCAGACAATAATAGTCAACAGCCAAAAACCAGAACATTCAATTTCCAAATCTGACATCATCTAAAAGTCTTCCTGCAATGCAATGGTAAATAATCTGAGGTGCTTTGCTTATCCGCGTTCCCGGCTCACTCTTTCTCTGCCAGTTCCACTCACCTTTTCAAATCCTCCTCCTCAACAAAAACTACAAAAATGCCTCCTCCTCCAGACAAGCCTTCCTCCTCTAATTTCAACCTGACCAACAAACTAGGCACATGCCCAAAGCCCTTCCGCCAAAAACCAGGCACACAGCCAAAGACTCTCCAAAGTTCTCCCTTTGCATCAGGTCACAGGGACCAAAGGCATAATCTGAGTTCATGTTTCCTTTTCCCTAGCTAACCTCTCCCAGCTTATAAACAGACTCAGCTCCTTTTGCACAGATCCTACCTCTTTCCTCAAGGAATTTTTCTACGTCACTCAATCTTATGACCTTACCTGGCATGTCATATATGTAATTCTCTCCTCCACCCTCACCCCAGAGGACAAATAATGCACCTGGATGGCCGCCCAGGCCCATGAAGACACCCCCCACCAACAAGAGGCTGCCCATAACCCAATAGGGACCCTACCTGTCCCCAGAACTGACCCCAATTGGGATTATCAGGCAACTTTTGCAGACAGATAGAAATAAGACCATATGTTATCATGCCTCCTAGCTGGCATAAATAAAGCTGTTCCTGCTCTTTTCCTCTCCTGCCTTTCAGAGGTCATAACTAAATATGTCACCTTAAACCCTAATGCCAATAAGGGCAGAATATACCACCATTTACACTTCATTTTCTAGTCAGACATTCTAAAGAAACTTTAAAAACTGGAGAATAGCCCTCAAACTTCCCAAAGAGATTTAATCAAAGTGGCCTTTAAGGTCTTTAACAATAGAGAGGAAAAACTAAAAGTCCAAAAGCTAAAAAGAGAACAGGCTAAATGCCAGATGCTGACAGCTGCCATTCAACAGGGTTCCCAACATTCACAGAAATCCTCAGCCTTGCAACAAAATCCACCAGAAACCTGTCTGAAGTGCAGCCAACAGTCACTGGACAAAAGCCTACTCTCAAAACCTTGCCCAACTGTGGCATCAAGGAACACTGGATATTGTACTGTGCTCAGCAAAATTCTTCATCCTGCTTCACCACCTCTAACTGAAGACTGATGGGGCCAGGGGCCCGCCTCCCCAACTGCCATCACCACCTCAGAACCCAGGGTAACACTGTCCATCTCTGGTAAGCCCATATCTTTCCTATTGCATACAGGGACTAGTTACTCAGTTTTATTAGAATTTTCTGGACCCCTCCTCAGTTTTTCTATCTCTATTGTGGGAGGTGATGGCAACCCCTCTAGGCACAAACAGACTGGTCCTCTATTATGCAACCTATTCAACACCCACTTCACCCACTCTTTCCTGGTTATTCCTCAGTGCTACCCCTATCTTGGGGCGGGACATACGAAGTAAATTCCAGGCCTCCATACAATTTGCCTCTTGCAATTCTACCCCTTTTATTTGACTCTGCCACCAGATGCTTCCCTCTCCTCCCTCTCATCCTCATTATCCACCGTGTTACCTCCTGTTAATCCTGAAGTCTGGAACATTTTTAAACCCACAATAGCCACACATCACATCCCGGATAAAATAACCTGCCAAAACCACTCCATTTTGCATGATCGGTCTCAATATTCCCTAACCCAGCCAGCCTCAGGGGCCTCAGACCTATTACCTGTAAACTTTACAAGCTGAAATTCTTTTTTTTTTTTTTTTTTTTTTGAGACAGAGTTTCGCTCGTTACCCAGGCTAGAGTGCAATGGTGCGATCTCGGCTCACCGCAACCTCCGTCTCCTGGGTTCAGGCAATTCTCCTGCCTCAGCCTCCTGAGTAGCTGGGATTACAGACACATGCCACCACGCCCAGCTAATTTTTTGTATTTTTAGTAGAGATGGGGTGTCACCATGTTGACCAGGATGGTCTCGATCTCTTGACCGCGTGATCCACCCGCCTCAGCCTCCCAAAGTGCTGGGATTACAGGCTTGAGCCACCGCGCCCGGCCTACAAGCTGAAATTCTTAAGACTACCGCTTGGTCCAGGATCTCTAAGTTGTTAACCAGGTGGAAATACCAATCCATCCAGTGGTCCCCAACCCACATACCCTACTCTCCTGTATTCCCCCTTCTACCACACACTTCTCTGTATTGAATTTAAAGGATGCCTTTTTCACTATTCCCTTAAATTCAGCTTCCCAAAGTATTTTTGCTTTCAGTTGGTCAGATCCTAATATTCACACCTCCACCCAGTTAACATGGACCATACTCCCATAGGGGTTCCAGGATTGCCCCCACCTATTTGGATGGGCCCTCACCAAGGACCCAGCTGAACTTCCGATGCTCCCAGCACCTTCCTCCAATACATCAATGACTGTAGCCCCTCCCTTAACCTGTCCATCCAACACACTTTTTTTTTCAGATAGAGTTGCTCTGTCACCCAGGCTGGGATGCAGTGGCGCAACCTCAGAAACTCTATACCAATACATTACTATTGCATCTTCCCATACCCTACATGACCTCATGAGCCACCAATCTCTTCTATCCCTTCCACCGTCCTACTTACAGCAGGTATACATCTTATTCATAGGAAACCCTCTAATCACCTTCCAGAAATGTAAAGCTCTCAACCCTGCCACCCTCCTCCCTGTAAACACCTCTGACTCTAAGCTCTCTCACTCCTGCCTGGACCTCTTAGACTCCCTCTCCTCCCAATTCCAACACATTTTGGAAGCCCTTTGGCAGGGAACACCTATATGGTTCATTAAGGAAAGATCTTTAAAGGAGCCATGTCCAGCATTTGGTTACCTCATCATTGCCAAAACAAACGCCTAGAATCCAATGCTCTCCCACCCCGTAAGAACAGGCAGAACTACCTCTCGACAGGTAGAACTAGTTGCCCTAACCAGGGCCCTCACCCTAACAAAGGGAAAGAAGGTTAACATTTACACCAATTCCTGGCCGGACATGGAGGCTCATGGAGTTTCGCTTTTGTTGGCCATGCTGGAGTGCAATGGCACGATCTCAACTCACTGCAACCTCTGCCTCCTGGGTTCAAGCAATTCTGCCTTAACCTCCTGAGTAGTTGGGATTACAGGCAGGTGCCACCACGCTCGGCTAATTTTGTATTTTTAGTAGAGACGGGATTTCTCCATGTTGGTCAGGCTGGTCTCAATCTCTCGACCTCAGGTGATCTGCCCTCCTGGGCCTCCTAAAGTGCTGGGATTACAGGCGTGAGCCACCACGGCTGGACTAATATTTCTAACTTTTTTTTTTTTTTTTTGAGACAGAGTGTCGCTCTTGTTACCCAGGCTGGAGTGCAATGGCACGATCTCGGCTCACCGCAACCTCCGCCTCCTGGGTTCAAGCAATTCTCCTGCCTCAGCCTCCTGAGTAGCTGGGACTACAGGCACGCGCCACCATGCCCAGCTAATTTTTTGTATTTTTAGTAGAGACGGGGTTTCGCCATGTTGACCAGGATGGTCTCGATCTCTCGACCTCGTGATCTACCACCCGCCTCGGCCTCCCAAAGTGCTGGGATTACAGGCTTGAGCCACCGCACCCGGCCTATATTTCTAACTTTTAAAGACACTGCAAAACTCCTTTCCAATGTTACAATATCATTCTATTCCCACTAGCAATGTAAGAAGGTTTAGTTTTGTTCATATTTCCTTCAACACTTCTTACAATCTTTTTTTTTCTTTTTGAGACTGTGTTTCACTCCTGTTGTCCAGGCTGAAGTGCAATGGTGCGATCTCTGCTCACTGCAGCCTCCGCCTCCCGGGTTCAAGAGATTCTCCTGCCTCAGCCTGCCGACTAGCTGGGATTACAGGCGCCCGCCACCACGCCCCCGCTAATGGTTGTATTTTTAGTAGAGACGGGGTTTCAACAGGTGGCCAGGCTGGTCTCAAACTCATGACCTCAAGTGATCCGCCTGCCTCAGCCTCCCAAAGAGCTGGGATGACAGGCGTGAGCCACCACGCCACGCCACGTCACTTTCATTACAACCCTTCTAATGGTACGAAATGTGGCTTCAACTCGCATTTCTCTAACAGCCCATGATGCTGAACGCTTAACGCACCCGTTGCTCACTTCGTATCTTCCTTGATGTCTTTTCAAATCTTCTGCCCATTTAATGAGGTTCTCTTCTCAGTCTTTTTTTTAAAACAGCTTACTGAGCTATAATTCACATACCATATAATTCACCCATTTTGTACTTATTCAATGATTTTGGCATATTATTTTTAACTGTGGTAAAATACACGTTAATAAAAGGTACGGGAGGCCCTTCTCCTGCACTAGGGGCCAACGGAGCAGCCCAAAGCGGAACGGAGTCACCCGCGCTGTGCCACCGACCGGAAGGGACACGGGCAGCTCTCGAAACTCCGGAGGCGCAGACCGTCCACGCGGGGCAGGAGAAGTTCCGGCCGTCCCCCGCCGCCCACCCGGACGCCCACGAAAGCCCGCGAGCGCCACAGGCTCAGGTCGCCGGAACTGGGGTCCCGACCACTGGACGCGTTTCCCGCTTCGCCCTCCTCTGCGCGGGCGGGGAGGGAGACGCCGGCCCAGGCTGCAGTTTGTACCTCAGAAACGGAAACAAAACACCGCCTTCTGTGTCCTTCTTCCTTAGGGAAAAACGCCGCCTAGGACTCGGCCTGGGACCCCGACCACGACCCCCGACCCGCCCGGGCTGGAGGGGACGGGCCCTGCCACGGCCTCGGCTCCGCCCCGCGGGCCGGCGGACCACAGAGGGGCGGCCTTTGCGGCTTTCCTAGAGCGGCCCGGAAGTGTCTCTAGGAGCGCTTCCGGGAACTAGGCCCTCTTTCGGCTGCGTCGGCTGGGCTCGCTGGCGCCAGGTGCGAGAGGCGGCTCGGGCCGCGGGGCGCGGGGTGGGGTCGGGTGGAGGCTCCGTCCCCGGGCTAGGGGTGGGGGCCTGGGAAAGGCTGCTTCGCCGCCCTGTCCGGAGAGCTCTCGATCCTGGGGCCTTTTCCGCGGAGGAGCGCCCGCGGATAGGTTGGCCCCAAGCGTGGGGCGGCGGGGGCCGAGCGCCAAGCTTGACCGTGCACCGAGGCCACCGCGCCCCCATCAGCGCCGCGGGTACGGAGTCGGGGTGCGAACCCGGCCTGCCAAGCCGCGTGACCGGAAGGGGCAGCTCGGAGGCCTCCTCCGACGGCCCTTTGGGGTGGGAAGGAGCCCCAGGTGCTGGCGGGGAGGTAAAGGCGGCTGTGGGTGACCATGGACCGCCAGGGAGAACGGGGCGCCTTGAAGCCCCTGGGGAGCTCCCTGGGCTACCCCAGCGCCGTGCAGCGTGGCCTGGCGAGTGCCTTGAGAACGGGAGCTGTGCCCGGCTGAGCTCTGCTCCGGCCCCTGGCGTGCTGAGCTGGGCAGGCGCGTTTCCTCCGGCGTAGCAGGTGCTTGCGCTCTGCGCTGTCCCTTTAGGTGCTGTCGGAACCCTCTTTAGATGCCGCATTTGGCTCCGTGGCCACCCGTTGCTCAGCTCCTCCATCCCGGGGGTTGGGGGCTGTGGTGGACTTCTGAATGACGGGTCTAGGCTCTAGTACTTGACTTTGGCAGTTGTGTTTAAAGCTTTGATTTTTTTTTTCGTTCTTTTTCCTTTGATTTTTTTCCTTTTTCTTTCTTTCTTCCCGTTCTTTTCTTTCGACACAGCATCTTGCTCTCTTGCCCAGGCTGGAGTGCAGTGGCTCGACTTCTGCTCACTGCAACTACGACCTCAAGAGTCGCAGAGCTCAAGGGATCCTGTCCTCAGCCTTCCAGGTAGCTGGGACCACAGACGTGTACCACCATGCCTGGCTAGTTTTTAAACTTTTTGTAAAGATGGGGTCTCGCTGTGATGCCCAGGTTGGTCTCCATCTCCTGGGCTCAAGCAATCTGCTGGCCTCAGCTTCACAAAGTGCTGAGATTTCAGGCTTGAGCCACTGTGCCTGGTCTAGAGCCTTATCTCTCTATCGTAGGATGAGAATGGTAATTCTTGCCCACTGTTGTGAGGATTCAAGGTGAAAGAGTTAAATGGTCTCAGTGTGGTCTGTGGTGTCAGTTGTCATGTCCCTGTGTTCCCTGGACCTTTGGCCTAGTTCATTCTTTCATGTGTTAACTTACTTGAAGAACTTGTGCCCCCCATTTCTCTGCCAGTTCCTGCTTGCCCTTCATGTCTTGGGTATCACTTCCTCCGGAGGCCTCCACTCCTCCTGGGACTGACATGGGCCCCTTTGCCACTTGCTCCCAGGGCCACCTCCCTAGCACTGACTGTCGTTAGTTCGCACTGTCAGCACCCTGACGATGGGGACCGTATCAGCCCTCACCCACTGGCCCAAAGGACATGGGAGTCACTGGTGTTTTCCTCTCCGCCCCCACTCTAGGCATCTGCATCTGGGACCGACCTCCTGGGCTGGCTGATCAAGGAGGAAGCAGCAGCAATGTCTGCTGTGGGGGCTGCAGCTCCTTTCCTGCATCATCCTGGTGACAGTCACAGTGGCCGAGTGAGTTTCTTGGGGGCCCAGCTTCCTCCAGAGGTGACAGCCATGGCCCGGCTACTAGGGGGCCTAGACAGGAGCACGTTCAGGAAGTTGCTGAAGCTTGTGGTCAGCAGCCTGCAGGGGGAGGACTGCCGAGAGGCTGCGCAGCGTGTCGGGGTTAGCGCCGAGCTGCGGGAGGAGCGGCTGGGTGTCCTGCTGGCAGGAATGCACACGCTGCTCCAGCAAGCCCTCCGTCTGCCCCCTACCAGCCTGAAGCCCGATACCTTCAGGGACCAGCTCCAGGAGCTCTGCATCCCCCAAGACCTGGTTGGGGACTTGGCCAGTGTGGTATTTGGGAGCCAGCGGCCCCTCCTTGATTCTGTGGCCCAACAGCAGGGGGCCTGGTTGCCCCATGTTGCTGACTTTCGGTGGCGGGTGGATGTGGCAATCTCCACCAGTGCCCTGGCTCGCTCCCTGCAGCCGAGCGTCCTGATGCAGCTGAAGCTGTCAGATGGGTCAGCATACCGCTTCGAGGCCACCACAGCCAAGTTCCAGGAGCTGCGGTACAGCGTGGCCCTGGTCCTAAAGGAGATGGCAGATCTGGAGAAGAGGTGTGAGCGCAGACTGCAGGACTGAGCCCTCGTTTGACTGGTCCCATTCAGGTCGGGCTTGGACAGGCACCTCAGAAGGTGCCAAAGTGCAGCTGACTCTTTCCAGGACAGCCCTGCCCTTCCCACGAGGCAGGCTCTTCAGTGATTATGTAATTTTCTGTGTAATTAAAAAAGAGAGCTATGCCTTTTTTTTCTTTTTCGGAAGTAAAGTGGCTATAAACAACATGTTTCTCTAGGTGGGTGTTAAACCTCATACCCTCCTCTTCCCTTATATATGTCTTTGCTGCTGGGTGTGGCCATGCGTGGCCAGGTTGAAGCCCTTCAAAGACACCATACAGTTGTGGGGCTGAAGGGAGGGGAAACGTTATAAAATAAACAATAAAAATTAACTGTAACGGCTCATCAGAGGATGATGTGTGATGCAGCAAGTAGAGTGGGGTCTGCGTGATGATGGGGTGACCTTCCTTGAGAGTGTGAATCTGAGCAAGGACTTGAAGGAGCCAGGGGCACAGCGCTCGGAGAGGGCAGCACAGGTGGGGAGGACAGTGCACAGGCGGCCAGTGTGGGGATGCCTAACGCGCTTAAGGCCTGCATCCAAGTAGATCACTGGAGGGAGCTGACATTGGGGAGGGTACCAAGGTCAGGGCCTGAGGGTCTGGTAAGGACTTTGGCTCAATTCTGAGTGAAAGAGGAGCCCTTTTGAGAGTTTTCAGCAGAGGAGAGGCACGATCTAGTGATGGGCTGTTGTGTGGAGGGGCGCAAGGGAGGAGGCTAGAGCCCAGCAGAGGGGCTGTAGCCAGCTTTGCAGCTTGCAGCATAACTACGTTCTCGAAGGGACCTTGGGGCTGCCTGCAGAGCCATTTTCTGTCGCTGGGTTCCGACTGGCTGCCCCCGCCTCCATGGAGTGCTTCTGGACCACGTCTGGTCTGTTCTCTGCCGGGAAACCTGCCCTTGTCTTTGAGTGCCTGGGGTTGCTTGGCTTTGTCTTGGCTGCAGTTTTTGGTTTATCTCCTCCACTAGCCTGGCACTTCTTCCTCATCCCTCCATGGGCAGTTCTAACATATTGGGGTGCAGAGGAATACCTGGGGGCAGGATGAGTCGATTCTGGGAGGGGCCCAGGTGCCCGCTAAGGCACATGCTTGTGAGTGCTGCCATCTGGTCATTCACTTGGCTTTGTCCCACCCTCAGTGAGTTCCAGGTACAACCCTCCTCCCTCTCCCTGAAGGCAGTGTCCCTACCACTGTCATCGGGCCAGGAATATGACCGAACACTTCCTGCATTCTCCATCCCCAGGTGTGCATGTGGCTGGGCTGTGGCAGCTGGGACCATGTTGCCTTTCTCAGTCACCAGCCCCGGCCCTGCAAGGACAGCAGCTTTAGGGACAGCCCCATCTTTCTGCTTCTTCCAGCTGCTTAGCAAAGCCTGTGTGGAGCCCACAGCACAGACCTGCCCTCGGTCCTCAGGCTGAGCTCTTCCTGGCTATCATTGGGAATCTGTTTGCCTCGATTCATTTGTGAACCCTTGGGCCTGTCTCAAGGCAGTACCAGGCAAATCAAGACACAGCCATGAAAAGACACATAGCTTGTGAGACACAGGCAGGGGAGTGGGCCATTCCCAGGACAAATTAATTTGTCTTTTTTTTTTTTTTTTTTTTAAGAATCTCATGGACTTTAATAACAAATATCTGAAAAGTATTCTTTGGGCTTTGCAAATCAGAGATCACTGATGTCCATAGGAAGAATGTCTTTATTGAAGAGGTGGAATAAACAGTAGGATTTGAGCACTTAATGAACAAAAGAGAGAAAATAGGAAGCGCAGCATGGGGAGGGGGAAACACATAGGGTGGTAGGAGGTTTAAGTAGCTCTCTTTTCAGCTGATTGTTTTTTTTTTTTTTTTAAACCAGAACATTTATTGTGTGACTAATCGGTGAAATTCTTAAGATGAACTGGATGCTGCAACAGCTGCCCTCTTGGGAATGAGGGATAGAGTGGGGCAAGTGCCGGGACAGCAACTGGCCTCAAGGCCACACACAGGGTTTTGGTCATTCCATTGGAGCAAGACGGAACAGGGGGGTTTTAATCAGGGCAGACATGATCCAGTTGGACTTGAGATCCCTACAGCGTGGAGCAGACTTAGAGGCCAGCTGGGTGGCCCTTCTCACACTCTGACTCAGTAGTCAGCCAGCTCTTCCCACAAAGGGCCAGAGAGTAAACATTTTAGATTTTGTGGGCCATGAAGTTTCTGTGAACCTTGCCATGGTGGATTGAAAGCAGTCACACAGTATGTAAACAAATGGGCATGGCTCTGTTCCAATTAATTTGTCTTTTTTTGTTTTTTACTCCCAGTTTATGAGTGGATTTTTTTTTTTTTTTTTTTTTTTTAGGTGGAGTTTGGCTCTTGTTGCCCAGGCTGGAGTGCAGTGGCACGATCTCGGCTCACTGCAACTCCGTCTTCCAGGTTCAAGCAATTCTCCTGCCTCAGCCTCCCAAGCAGCTGGGATTATAGGCACGTGCCACCATGCCTGGCTAATTTTTGTATTTTTAGTAGGGACGGGGTTTCATCATGTTGGCCAGGCTGGTCTCAAACTCCTGATCTCAGGTGATCTGCCCACCTCAGCCTCCCAAAGTGTTGGGATTACAGGCGTTGAGCCACCGAGCCCAGCCTCCAATAAGATTTTTTAATGGATATTGAAATTTTCCCTTTGAGACAGGGTCTCCCCCTGTCATCCAGTCTGGAGTGCAGTGGCATGATCATGGCTCACTGTAGTCTCAACCTGAGCTCACAGGTACACCACACCACACCTGGCTAATTTTTGCATTTTTTGTAGAGATGAGGTTTCGCCATGTTGCCCAGGCTAGTCTTGAACTCCTGGGCTCTGGGTCTACCCACCTGAGCCTCCCAAAGTGCCGGTTTTACAGCAACGAGCCACTGCGCCCAGCGATGAAATTTTAATTTCACGTGTCACAAAGAATTTTTTTTCATCTAAAAACCATTCTTAGGCTAGGCATGGTTGGGGCCAATCCCATGAGCCCACTGGACCCCTCCAGTACAGGCACCTGTCCATCGTTGCCAGTGGTCAGTCTCCATTAGAACTGGACTCCAGGGCAGGGGCTGGCCCTGTCCATCTTTGTCCCCGTGGCCTGCACAAGGCCTTGCACAGAGAACAGATGTCTGCATCTGGGAAATTACTCCTTTGCTTTTGTTGGACTTAGTTCTCTGTGGAAACTTCTTGCTTGTGGATTTCCCTCTCTTCTGTGGCACTGTTCTGAGCTCAAAGCCTGGATGCCTCCCCAAATATGTCATTCATTCATTCAGCAAACATTTCTGGGGCTTTGAGTCAAGCTGCATGCACTGGAGACTTGGGGATTTATAAAATGGCCTGGGCCCTGCCCTGGCTCTGCTCCACTTTGTGAAGCTTCTAGAAGGCTCCAAATAGTTTCAATTCAGTGTCATAAATCAAAGATTATTCTAGATAAAAAGCAATTCCAGATCTAGGTTGTAGATTTATTTTAATTAATTTATTGTCTCCAAAACAGAAACCCAAAATGTTTTTATTTGTTTATATATTTTGGAGACAGGGCTTCCATCTGTCACCCAGGCTGGAGAGGGCAGTGGTGCGATCACAGCTCCTTGCAGTCTCCAACTTCTGGGCTCAAGTGATCCTTCCCCGGCCTCCCAAAGTGCTATGATTACAGGCATGAGCCCCTGTGCGTGGCCTGGAAACTCTTCAGATGAGTTTACTATACTGAAGCCCAAATTGCGGTGCACAGTGTGATCAGGTAACAGGATATCCCAGCACCTGCACTACCCTATGAACAATCCCTCTTCCTCTCCACAGAACCACCAGCCTGTGTGCCAGGGGCTACCTGGGTGCTTCCATGTGTTACTCAGATCTCACAGCTGTGCTGTGGCTCGAATTTAAATCATGTGCTCACACCCTTGGCTCTCAGCAAGCCGCCCCATGGATATCATGTCTTTTCCACATCATGCAGCTGTAAGAGGACTTCTCCTCTCCCTCTGTGGCTAATGTCTAACCTGGATTGTTGGACTTTGATTTACTTCTATTGAACTGAGCCAGCTGCCTTATTCTTAGTTGTACTGTGACATTTAGGTGAAGAAACCACCAAGAGCTGAGAGGCTGGTGGGCATAAAGTTATTTTCCAAGTGTGAGGTGGTTTGGCTGGTGAGGTCCACACTGCTGCAGCAGGAAAGCCACCAGAGGTTCTATGAAGACACATGGGCATCACCAAGCCCAAGGAAACTGTGTACACAGTAAAATTTGATTTTAACATAGTTTTTTTTTTTGTTTTTTTTTTTGAGACGGAGTTTCACTCTTGTTACCCAGGCTGGAGTGCAATGGCGCGATCTCGGCTCACCGCAACCTCCGCCTCCTGGGTTCAGGTAATTCTCCTGCCCTCAGCCTCCTGAGTAGCTGGGATTACAGGCACGCGCCACCATGCCCAGCTAATCTTTTGTATTTTTAGTAGAGATGGGGTTTCACCATGTTGACCAGGATGGTCTCGATTTCTCGACCTCGTGATCCACCTGCCTCGGCCTCCCAAAGTGCTGGGATTACAGGCTTGAGCCACCGCGCCCGGCTGATACTTTTTTTTTTTTTTTTTTAAGAGAAAGAGTTTTCCTCTGTCACCCAGGCTGGAGTACAGTGGCATGGCGATCTTGCTCACTGCAACTTCCACCTCCCAGGCTCAAGTGATTCTCGTGCCTCAGCTTCCCAAGTAGCTGGGATTACAGGAGCCCATCACCGTGCCCAGCTAATTTTTGTATTTTTAGTAGAGACGGGGGGGTCTCATTATTTTGGTCAGGCTGGTCTCGAACTCCTGACCTCAGGTGATCCATGCACCTTGGCCTCCCAAAATGCTGGGATTACAAGCATGAGCCATCGTACCTGGTCTTTAACATAGTTTTCAAATGTCACAAGTCTTTTATTTTCTCCTCAACTATTCAGAAATATAAAAAGCATTCTTAGCCCTTAGGCCATACAAAACAGGCAGCCAGGCTTTGTGTGGCCTAAGAGCTATACAAATGGTTTGCCAGCCCCTGACCTAGGACCGTGTCAGTCCAGAGATAATCCAGGTGCTAACACAGAATGAAGCTTGTACCCCAGCCCCTTTTTGGCTGGTTGCTGTTAGTGGAAAGAAAACAGCATTATGGTTAGCACGGAATCTGGAATTTTCAGACCATCCACGTGACTCACGCTCCCCTCCCCTCCTTTTGTCCTGATCATGAACCAGGAAGTAGCCAAGAGGAGACGGGGAGAGCCCAGGAGGAGGCAGGGTCAGAATCAGAGTCTTTGTGAGCAGTGTTTTGGAAGGCCAGGAACAGGAGTTGCAGGTGGTGCATGTCCACTGGGTGACTGGGTGCCTTTACTCTTGT